CAGGCATCTGTACTGGCCTGCTCTTGGGGTTCTGATTGATAGTCCTCAGCTGCAGCCACTAAGAGCACTACCTATGCACATTGGTTACATTCCCTTATAAAAGGCAGGCCTTGCCCACCTCTGCCTCCCACCTCCCCCTCCTATTTTTTCCTGCCACTTTTGTCCCAGGGACTGGTCTCTGCCCCCTGCCCCCCTCTCTGCTCCTTTCTCTGTCCCCTTTCTGCCCCTTCTCTCTCCTCTTCCAGTAAATCTCCTGTGTTAGCCCTGTTATATGGCCTGACTTCTCTTCCCACCATTTTTTTGTTTGTTTTTGTTTTTTCGTTTTTCGAGACAGGGTTTCTCTGTGTATATTTGGAGCCTGTCCTGTAACTTGCTCTGTAGACCAGGCTGGCCTGGAACTCACAGAGCTCTGCCTGCCTCTGCCTGGGATTAAAGGTGTGTACCACCACCGCCTGGCTTTTCCCAATGGTTTAAAATAAATTATAACAAAGAACCCTTGACACATTGAGGAAGTTCCTTTCTGTTAATAGTTTTCTGATATTTTATCATTACAGGATGTTGGATTTTTAGCGATGATTTTGTTCTATTGATGCGTTACATTGGTTACTGAAGTCTTTATCCTTGAAATGCTTCATCTGACTTGGGTATCTAATTCAGAATCAGTTAGGAATTGTTTTCTTCCCTGTTTCTTTGGACGAGTTTGAGAAGGACTGATGGTGATTTTTTAAGTGTTTGTGGCAATGCTATCCATTATCACTTTTCTGTTGTTGGTAGGAAGGTTGTGGTTTCTTGGTCAGTTTCTTTGTTTTGAATCTGTTGATATTTTCTATTTCTTCTTGAGTCAGTTTTTGTAACTTTTAAATTAAAAAAAGTCCACCTATTTAGCTTATCTAATTTTGTGGCAAATGATTGTGCGTGATATCATTTTGTATTTTATTTCTGTAAGTTTGGTAACAATACCCTAAGTCATTTCTGATTTTAGCTGTCTTTTAAAAAATATATATTCTTAACTTCTTGTTTTATTTATGAGTATGAAGATTTTGCCAGCATGTCTGTCTGTACGCCATGTAAGTGCCTGGCCAGCAAGGGTCAGAAGAGGGCTTTAGGGATCCCCTGGAACTGGAGTGATGGATGTTTGTAAGCTACCATGTGGGTGCTGGGAATTGAACCCAGGTCCTTTGCAAGAGCAACAGGCTGCTCCTAATGGCTGAGCTATCTCCCCCAACACTCCTTTTTTGAAACAGGGTCTATGTTACTGACTGTCCTGGGACTCACTTTGTAGACCAGGTTGGTCTCTAATTCATAGAGGTATTACAGCCTCTGTCTTCATGCTGGGATTAAAAGTGTTCATCACCACACCCAGTGTGCTGATGCTTTTGTTGTTGTTGAGACAAAGTCTTGTTATGAAGCCTTGGCTGGTCTTGAACTTGCATCGATCTTCCTGTCTTTCCTCTCCAGTGCTGGGATTATAGACATGTGCTACCCTGCTTTGGTCTTTCAACTTTTTTCCCCCAATACTGGGGATGGAATCTGACACTTAGGTATGCCAGACAAACTACCACTGAACACCATTATTTATTTATTTTTTGGTTTTTCAGGACAGGGTTTCTCTGTGTAGCCCTGGCTGTCCTGGAACTCACTCTCTGTATTAGGCTGACCTTGAACTCACAGAGATCCACCTGCCTCTGCTTTCTGAATGCTGGGATTAAAGGCATGAGCCACCACCTCCTGGCTTCATACTGCTTTGTAAATGCAGGTGTTAGCTATCTAAAAGTACTGCTGTTGAATGAGACGTCCTAGATGTGTTAGTCAGATCTGATTGGCTTGTCTCCTATGTCCTCATTCACCATTTTAGATCTTCTATTCATTATTGGAAATGACTATGGAAGTTTTTGGATATGAGTGTGGAATTGTGTATTTCTTTTTTTGGCTTGGTGTTTTGGTTTTCGAGACAGGGTTTCTCTGTAGCTTTGGAGGCTGCCCTGGAACTCACTCTGTAGACCAGGCTGGTCTCAAACACACAGAGATCCACCTGCCTCTGTCTCCCGAGTGCTGGGCTTAAAGGCATGTGCCACCACCACCTCATGTCTATTTCTGTTTTTCAATCAGTGGTATTTGTTTCATATGTTTGCTTTTACATTCTTTGGTGTATATATGCTAATAATTATTAATATTCTTGATGAACTGCCCTTCTTACTGATGTATCTTTCTGACTTTTGATATGTGTGTGTGTCTGTCTGTGTGTGTATGTGTGTGCAGGTGTGTTTGTATGACTGTATAGGCCTGAGGTCAGCCTCCAGTGGTGTTCCTTGGCAGTCATCCTGAATCTTGCTTGTTGAGACATGGTTTCTCACTGGACTGAATTGCTGATTAGATTATGCTAGCTGGCCAGTGAGCCCCAAGGATCTGCTGTCTCTTCCTTCTCAGCTCTAGGATAAGTGCATTCTACAATACTGACTTTATGTGGGTATTGGGGATCTAACTCACGTCCTCATGCTTGTATGTCAAGCATTCTCCTATATTCAAAATCTTCACAGGCTTACATTTTTTTATCATTTTAAATTTATTTTGTCTGATATTAATATGGCTATTCAGCTTACTCAGCTCTTTTGGTTGTTATTTACATGCATTATTTTTAAAGATATATTCTAACTTTAGCCAGGCATATTGTGACATACTTTTTTTTTTTTTTTTTTTTGGACCGGGGTTTCTCTTGTTAGTTTTGGG